GGCAGGGGGGTTGGACTAGATGACCCACAGAGGTCCCTTCCAACCCCTACTATTCTGTGATTCTGTGATTCTGATTCTGTAATTTTGTGATCCAGTGAAATAACCACGCTTTTGCAGTTGTTTTCAGTGTATGTCTCACATTTTTCTTGCCTCTCAGTAAAAATACAGCAATATCTTTAATAACCCTTTACTATAGTTGCAAATATAACAAAGCCTGTATTCCCAGTGGATACTTGCTGGCACGTAAGTCAACAAGAATACTGCAGGTAAGCATTTTAGATGACCAAAGAAAGCTTCAGTGATGTGCTTGTGACTAAAGATTTGCTACCTGCTGCTAAACAGGTTGTGATAGATTTCTGTGCGACAAACGTTCAATTTACAGATACAGCCTCATGGGGGACTGCTCACAGCCTTAAATACTGCTGATTGTACCAGAATGCTGCTCTTCATCACAAAGGCCTGGTTGCCCTCTACTGTAGTGAAAATGAGCATGCCATGGGATAGCAACAGAGCATGTGGACATTGCTAAAAGGACTTCGTCCCCAAATCCCACCTTCCCTAGCCCAACACTAAAATGTCATTCAGTTGACAGGCACCTCATTCTCGTGTTTTACTTTCTATGTGGAAATACTTTGCTTTGGAGATGTAGGCAGCCTGGTTGGTGCAAGCCGTGTGCTTGTCATAGTCCAGTTCAGGATTACCCTTTCTTGTGGTTTTGCCTCAATTTGCAACAAAAGAACCACGCAGTTACTCTCACTCCTTCCCTCCTCCCTGGTGGGGAGGAGAATCCAAAGGAAAAAAAGCAAAAACTCATGGGTTGAGATGAGAACAGTTTAACAGAACAGCAAAGGGAGAAGAAAACAACAATCAATAACAGTGATAAAAGCATATACAACATGCAGCGTTCTCACCACCTAACACTCAGCTTGCTCGTGAGTAGAAAAGCCTCTCCTGCAGCCAGCTCCTCACTTAAATACTAAGCATGGCATCACATGGTATAGAAGAGCCCATCTGATTGGCTGTTTGGGTCAGCCCAACCAGCTGCTTGTGAAAATTAACTCTATCCCAGCTGAACCCAGGACATTATCCACACCATATTCTATACCATCTATGTCGTGCTCCAGGTCCACACTTTACTATCACTTCTTCTGATTTTAAGCCATCTCAGGTAGCCTCTTCCCATAACCTCCACCTTCACCACAGGGTCCACCAGGGTACTGCTGTGGTTCAGGATCAGTTGGCCATCTATGCTGGAGCCAGCCAAAAGCATCTGAATCTCAGGCAGCACTGGGTTAACTATTCTCACTGTCAACATGAGGGAGGAGAGGCAGCTGGATGCTGCTGGGGTCTGGAGGTTGGACCGAGAAGTCATCTTCTCCAATGCCACCCCATGAAACTGGGATTTGTGAGGTCACAGCATGGAGGACAGGTGCAGAGTGCTCCACAGGGAGAGAGAGAGCGAGCGCTCAGCTCCCCAAGCTATGTCAGAGAGGACTGGAGCCATTTAGCTGCTTATTAGCAGCACCTAACTAACTGGCAAGCATTCAGCTGCACATTTAGGATTGGTATTGGCAATACAGCAGATAAACCACAGTTCAAGACACTTAACAAATGTTGGCAAGCACCCCAAAATTTCTCAGCACGCTTTCCGTGAGTAATCCCAAAAACTTCTAAGCATGCACACACACGTGCATGGTTAGATGCACCCCATCTCCTCTGGGGTGCTGGTTCCCCAACCCATGGACCTCGTGTTGGGGACATGTGGGTGCTCTACATACACCCTATCCACTAATCCATCCACCAGTGAGAACACATCCCAGAAGCCTCCACGCTCTGTGGTGCTGCACCCCATCAGTGTCAGGGTGCTGGCTGCTCATACCACCCAGCAGCGGTGGGCTGCGGCTGGCAGTGCCAGCCCGGGCTTCGGTGGCCACTGCTTCCCCTGTCCCACTCCCAGGTCTCATCACAGCTTCTCACATGTCCTTGAAATTTCTTTCCAGGCTGTTTCTTCCTTCATAAGTCTCCTGGTAATCTTCTACCTACTTTTTAATCTAGCTGATGATTGTCTCAAGCAGACTTCACTATTCCTCATTTCCTCATGGTGTTACCAGTTTAGGGCAACCTCCCTCGCAGGATGCGCAGGTTTGTGTTCACACTCATGCACTCGCTGTGCACACTCACCTCACTCCCACTCTAGCCATTGTTATCTGGGCATGGTACCAAGAAGAAGCCGTGCAAAGTATCCCACAGCAAACTGCTTGCGGTGGGTGGTAGATGTGGCTGATATTGCCCCCATAAGCAGCGGCCAGAAGATCACAGCAAGTGCTGGTGAGATCATCAGGGCAGGTAAGCAGCCACCACAACACCTCTCCAGGCAGCGAGGTCTTGCAGGTCCAACGGAAGCCAGTGAGCTGTCATTCACCAAAGCGGGATGATTGGCAACATTTTATTGTGATGTAGGAGACTTTGATGAATATGGCTAAAGGCAAGGGACTGAGACGAAGCTCAGCCTGCTTTGTCTCCTGAACTCCTCCTTGTCATATCAGAGCAATGCCAACTAGCTGAAGCTACTGCAACTTGACCATAACATTAAGGGGAAAGACATATTCCTTCCAAAAAACACCCCAAAACACTGTAAGGCTGAGCTGAGATGGACTTCAAATGCTGTTGGACACTTGGACCAAATGGTTGTGCCATGCTTTGACCTACATAGCAGTGGGAAAGGAAGGGAAAGGATTCAGCATGGGAAATCAGAGAGACATCTTCAGCCAGGAGAGCCAGGATGAGGACAGCTAAAGCAAGGATCATGTCTGCAGCTGATACCAGCAGACATCTGTGAGCCACTGATTACTTGTAAGGCCAGAGTGAAAGTGCTGGCACCTGCTCTGCAAAACCCAATTCCAGAGGCAGTGTTCTCAGCTGCAGGTTGAGGATGAGGGTACATGCTGAGAAATGCTGAAAATTAACTGATCAAGACAGCCAACAGTTTAGGAAACAAGTCACAGCGGCAAGTTGGTATTTAAGCCGTTTCTCCTCCATACTAATTAGTCACTTGTTCCAAAGCTGCCAAGATTCTCCCTCACAGCCTCTGTACCCCATCCTTGCTTACAGTGTTTTCAGGTGTTTTTTTTTTAAGGAAAAAAAAAAGCAGTGAATTAACATGCTGACTGCAAACTGTCAGTCAGTCTTCATTCTTGGTTGCTGCATCTAATTCTCTGAGCCTCTGCTTTCCTTGCCTTTTTGAAAAGTAAACTCTTTGGGAAAGGATCTGTTCAGTGCCCTGGGTTGTAGTGAGAAGGAACGATTTCTCAACTGGGCACAGAATTACCAGTAACAAAAATACCCTTTTTCTTATTTATGCTTGGCTGTTCTCAGCAGTCATCGCCTTGTGCAAAAGTTGTGTGGTTATGGGTGGAAAAAAATAGCTTATAGCTACTTGCATGACTGATGATACACTGTCAAGTAAAAAATTATAATTAGTGATAATATATGAATCAAATGCTAGATTTCCATGGTTTGGTGCTCAGGCACTGATTTATGCTTTAGAAAAATAGCTTATAGCTATGATCTCCATGCTGATATTACACCAAACCAATATCTCATCTGAATCTGTGCATCCCCCGAGAATTGTAAGTGCAATCTGAGAATGCAATTGGCCAGAAAAGGAGAAAGCATTGCTTTTATGTCATGTTTTGTGCTCCTTCCTTAACTCCAATTGCTGTCTTGAAGTTAGACAGATAAAAATGAGTTGTGCAAATGTTTCTTTGCACTTTGTGATGTCTCTGAATAAATGATCTTTAAATTCCATTTCCAGAAGAACAGTACAGTATACTTTTAACAAAAGTAAGCTTCAAAAGGTACAGTAGGGAACAATATATTCTGTCTTTGCCCATGTTGATGTGTGGTGTCATGGATTTTGAGCTTTCAATTGATATCAGCCAAAACAGAACCTTTTGTCTGAATCAGTTACACTTCAGAAGATATAAATGAAAGTGGATCCATACCTAGCTATATTTAATTTTGCAAACAAAAAGCTGGCTTCCATAGCTTCCTCTCAGTCATTTAAGAAACTTTGTGCAGTCCCACTATGTTTGGCAGTTTTCTGCAGACATCAGGGACATTGTTTGCTCTTGGTTTCAGTTCTCTGAGACTCACATGAACATTGCCTTTGGTTTGAACCTTCTGGTTTCAGTTTAAAATTTTGAGCATGAAAACTCAAGGGCAAATGAAGGGCCAAGCTCCTGAGCTCAGTGTTGTACTGTGATAAAACACGTTGGTGTAGGGTTGTGTCAATGAGGACCCAGAGTAACCAAACTCAGCCCAGGGATGGCCCTTGTCACTCTGGCTCTGCACAAGGACTGGCTTCCCCCGAGACCCCAAGGTCTGAAGGAACTGGATGTAGGAAAGCAGAGGCAAGACGCAGGCTGAGCTTTTGGGTTCATCATAGAAATTAGACTAGTTTGTGCTTTGAGAGGATTTAATACAAAAGTGTTGCACAGGTCTCATTTGTATTCTACTGCTTTCCAACAGGATATGAAGGGCCTACGTCTGCACACAAATTCCCTTTGTGAGTTGAGCTGGCTCTGTAGCTCTCCTGATGGTAACATGTGGAAAATGGAGTACCTGCATTTGAATTTTAAATTTCTTGTATTACAGGGGAATTAGGATGTACTGGTGGTGTAAACACTGGCACTAGCTTTCCTGAAGCCAACTTCACAACCATCTCAGAGGCAGTGACATAGCTATGAAGAAACTGTCATGGAGGAGTCTTCATACACTCAGCCCGTGTTAATACAGAGGTTTTACAAGACAGCATGAATCAGGCAAATGAATGCGGTCTCTTTTTGCCAAGTAATGTCTCTCTATGGAAAAAATAATGTGTAATAAGCACTGTGAGTAGGATGGCTGTCCAGAGTTAAATGGATAATTCTTATTTGGCATTCCCACACAACGAGTGATTCACTTGGCAATCATAGGGTCCAATTATCTTTTAATACTCTTTTTTTGGTTGCTATTATGATATATTGTGCATACAATGCTTTCACTAATACTGTTCTTAATTTTAGTAGTGAATGCATTGGAAAATACAACTTTTTTCATCTCTCTTCTAACTTTGATGATTTTTTTTATATCAATATTGCTATTGTCCCTAATCTTGGTATTAAGAATTACTTGTTATTTTAAGGTGTTCCACGACATCCATAGAGCAGAAAAACACACCATTTCTACTGCAAGTTGGTTCACCATCAAGTTGTTCTGCAAGAGATATAAAGAGCTGTGCCATACAGCCATACAGGGAAATGAATTTCATCAGAGGGCATGGAAGTGTAGTTGCCAGGTTTTTATAAGCCAAAATCTCATGACACCTTTTTTTGTGAGGATCAACATAAGTCAGGCTGACTGTAAATTCAGAGCATCTCCTTCATTTCTTGGCTAATCTCAACATTTAGCGAGCACATGCAAATGTAAGAACCACTTTAAGAATTTATAACTGTACTTGGCAAGTGAGGGAGGGTTAGAAATACAGCAAAGCCAGCAAGTTTAAAGCTCTACCATGATAGATCTTACCTGGAGAATGTACTGAGAAATTGTCAATAGCTGCTTGTAAACAGTAGAGCTTGAAATGGGGAAAACATGTTTTTTCCCTGTCAGAATGGCACAAAGGCTTGGCTGAAGCCCTTGCCTGGCCTGTCCTTCTGGCTGATGTGAGAAATGAGATATAGATTTTTTTTTATACCATACGATCAGAAACTTAGAGGAGCCACAAAGCTGGCACACAGTTTATGTTACACTTAAGGGAGATGTTGGAAAACTTTTGCAACACACATCTTGCTATTTACCAAATGCAACTGAATTCACATTATTAACCAAAGAAATACAGAACACATGCTGCTAAATTTGCTTCTGGTGAAAGCTGATGTAGCTAGGAACCGGCTAACATGCTGCAGCTTTGCATGTTACAGAGAATTTGTTCACTAAAAGGAAATAATTCCTTTGTTAAAAATAAATGGTAAGTCTGTGATTTTCCAGAATCCCCCATTAAATTAGAAACACAGTTGCTGCTCATTTCAAGGAAACGTGTGCATGCAAATCCATTCTGTATCCTTGACATTATCAATCTAAGCACCCAGAATGATCTTTTGTCTAGAAAATAGTATACAAAAGAAAATCAGAGTGGAAAATTTCATATATTATGAATAAGAAATTACAAGGTAAAGTCAAGAGTACCTGTAGATACTTGCAAGGAATTAAGATTTCAATATACAACAATGTGAGATATTTCATTGTGTCTGCTTAAAGTTACTTACCTACAAGAGCCAAAATAGAGAAGTCTGAAGATCAGAAACTTTAGTGGGAATGAGAAAGACATGC